TAATAAAAATAAATGAAAAAAAAAGAAAAAAATATTCATTGTTTTCTAATCACATCTAAAGTTTTTCAGTGTGTGCTGTGTTTACTGTGTGTTCAGTCACTAAATCATGTCTGACTCTTTACATCTCCATGAAATGAAGCATACCAGTCTTTTCTGTCCGCCACCATCTCCTAGAGTTCGCTCAAATTCATGTGCATTGAGTTGGTGATGCTATCTAAACATCTTATCTTCTTCATCCCCTTTTCCTTTTGTCTTCAGTCTTTCCCGACATCAGGGTTTTTCCTGAGTCAGCTCTTCACATCAGGTAGCCAGAGTATTAGAGCTTCAGCTAGAGCTTCAGCTTGAGCATCAATCCTTCCAATGAATATTCAGGGTTGATTTCCCTTAGGATTGACTGATTTGATCTCTATGCTGTCCAAGGGACTCTCAAGAGTCTTCTCAAGCACCACAGTCTGAAAGCATCAATTTGTCAGTGCTCAGCCTTCTTTGTGGTCCAACTTTCACACCCATACATGACTACTGAAAAAAAAAACATAGTTTTGACTTGATGGACTTTTGTCAGCAAAGTGATGTCTCTGCTTTTTAATATGCTGTCTAGGTCCTTCAAGAAGCAAGCACCTTCAAATTTCATGGCTGCAGTCACCATCTGCAGTGATTTTGGAGCCCAAGAAAATAAAGTCTGTCACTGCTTCCACTATTTCCCCATCTATTTGCTGTGAAGTGATGGGACCAGATGCCATGATCTCAGTTTTTTGAATGTTGAATTTTAAGCCAGATTTTTCACTGTCCTCTTTCACCCTCATCAAGAGACTCTTTTGATTCCTCTTCACTTACTCCCATCAGAGTGGTGTCACCAGCATATCTGAGGTTGTTGATATTTCTCCCAGCAATCTTGATTCCAGCTTGTAATTCATCCATCCAGCATTTCTCGTGATGTACTCTGCATATAAGTTAAATAAACAGGGATTTGACAATAGACAGCCTTATCATACTCATTTCCCAACTTTGAACCAGTCAGTTGTTCCAAGTCTGGTTCTAACTGTTGCTTCTTAACCTGCATACAAGTTTCTCAGGAGACAGGTAAGGCAGTCTAGTACTCCCATAAATGGAAGAATTTTCCAGTTTGTTGTGATCCACACAATCAAAGGCTTTAGTGTAGTCAAAGAAGCATAAGTAGATGTTTTTCTGGAACTCCCTTGCTTTCTCCATGATCCAATGACTATTTGGCCCATTGAAACCATCCTTCATCCTGTTTATGATTTTTATTATAATTTTTATTGATGTATAGTTGATATACAGTGTTATGTTGGTTTCAGGTGTACAGCATAGTGAGTCAATATATTGATAGCTTATACTCCTTTAAAAGTTATTACAGGACTTCCCTGTTAATCCAGTGGTTAGGAATCTGCCTGCCAGTGCAGGGGTCATGGGTTAGATTCCTGGCCCGGGAACATTCCACATGCTGCAGGGCAAGCTGATGTGCCACAAACTACTGAAGCCTGCACACTCTAGAGCCCAGGCTCTACAACAAGAGAATTGAGAAGCCTCCACACCGCAACTAAAGAGTAGGCCCCACTCACCACAACTAGAGAGAAAGCCCATGCACAGCCAAAACAAAAAAGTTATTGCAAAATAAAGACTATAATTTCCTGTACTGTGCAATATATTCTTGCTGCTTACCTCTTTTATATAGTAGTTTGTGTCTGTTAGTCCCATTCCCCTAGTTTGCCCCCCTCTTCCCTCACCCCTCTGGTAACCACCAGTTTGTTTTCTATATCTGTGAGTCTGTTTCTGCTTTGCTATATATATTCATTTGCTTTATTTGATAAGTTTTAGCAGCAAATAGATACCTGGATTATAGAATAGAAGGTAAGGAAGACAGAATGGACAATGAAGGCAAGCTGTCACACTGCAACTGCTGCCATCTGCTCCCCTCCCCAGCCCAGCTCTGAAATGCCCTGGTGCTCTGCTGCAAATGCTACAGGCTAGAATAGTGGCTTTTCTCTCTCAAGTCAGGCAGAATGGTCAGTGAGAAGATCGTAACTCAGATCCTCTCTACCAACATCTCTTATCTAAGCACCTAGCCCTTCTTACTCCTGGGGCTGAAGTTTCCTTCTACACCAGGAAGCAAACATCCTTTCTAATTTGAGGTCCTTTCTCTCTCAATTAAAACTTGAGTTTCTCAAAATCTACACTCTTCTCTCCCTCCTAGTCATGTCCATGGCTCAGCTGATGTCGACAGTGTGTAAACACCTTGCTGCTTACTTAAAATATAACCTTGGACAAGTTATGTAATAGCTTTGGACATTCTGGATACTCTTCTATAAGATGCATGTAATGATTAGGTAATAGGGTTGTTTTGAGGATTTAATTCAGCAAATAATTTTAATTAGCCAAAATGACACATATAAATCTTCTGGTAAAGAGTAGATATTGGATCAACACTTTGGTCGCCTGATGTGAAGAGCCAACCCATTGGCAAAGACCCTGATGCTTGGAAAAACTGAGGAGAAGGGGACAACAGAGGACAAGATGGTTGGATGGCATCACAAGCTCAATGGACAGGAGCTTGAGCAAACTCTGGGAGGTAGTGAAGATCAGGGAAGCCTGACATGCTGCTGTCCATGAGGTCACAAAGAGTTGGCCATGAAAGAGACTGAACAACAAGTTCCTCATGTAATACAGTCCCTAGGTGGGGTGTCCTGTCCTGTGCAACTCAAATAAGATAGACATGACCACTTGTGGTGTTTTCTAGAGGTCCAGAGCCTTCCTATAATTTCTGGCTTTTCCTAGAAATTTTCACTCTCATGGTCACTTCTCTGACTGGTTTTCCAGGGCTCCCCATCTCACTCAGCTCTACATTTCTTTATTATCCTCTACCCCATATATACACATTATATACTTAGCTGCAGCAGAGCCAAGTGTGCCTTCCTTTAATTCCCCAACTCATTACCAGTACCAAGTAGTTTCATGTAATAAACTCTTACCAAAGTTTCTGTCGGGGAATGTGTGCATGTGTATGTTCTATGCCTTAGCACAGGATGGCTGGGATGCTGAAAGTGAGATAAGACCTCTGGATAATTTTAAAGTCGCTGACATTTTACCAACATGAATTATCTGTTGGCTGACTCTCCTCCCAGTGTCCCTGGTCTCCAGTGACATTTCAGGTTTCCCCTCTCCAGGGTCCTCCTTCCCACTGCCCATCACCCACATAGTTTTCATAACTAAAATGTTCCCACACTAGGTTTCTCTCATGAGAATCGTGAAGTCCAGTGGAGGAGGGGATTGTGACTTGCTCTCCATTGCCCTAAAGGCAACCAGTGAATGAGCAGCCTATATTTTCAATCAATATAAAAAGTTTCTGACCACAGGATGCATGAACCACATTTTAAGCTGATTTGTCTGCTATTAGGTGGAGTAGGGGAAAAATAAAAATAGTTTTGAACATTCTCTTGTCTGGAATACTGCACAGCAAGTTTTAGAAAGGAGCACAGACTAGACTTCAGAAGATTTGCTTGGAATGGGAAAGGGGCTGTGATTGGGGGGATATGTCTTCAGCTCATTGTCAAGAGTCCAGGTCTTGCCGTTTGATTAGCTCTGTGACCTTTTACAGGTAATAAGATCCCTCTTGGAGGAGGGGTTTACATCCATAAAGGATTTAATATGCAGTACCTGACTACCTTAAGTGTATGGTCATAGGGCCAGTCCTGTGGACCCAACTTTGGGGCTTTCTGCCTGAGCAGCTGAGGGAGAAGCCTCAACAGGAAGGAGAAGGAGGTAAGTTAAGAGGATGGTGTTGCTCCTCCAGAACATGGGAGATGAGAGCCTCAGATAATGTAGGGTATCCAGCATGGGGAGAAGAAGCCAGGACCTGACCCTCAGCCAGTTGTGTGGAGGCTGACGCAGCTGAGGCTGTGGCCAGGAGGAGGGTGTAGATGTCTATCTCTTCCCCTCTGTGAGAGCAGGAACGGAGCTGGCAGAGACTAAAGGGAAATGCTTGGCTGTGGCACAATTTCTATGAGGGGTCTGGCTTTGCCTTGTGTATATAGGGAGCCCTGGTGACAGCTGGGAAGGCCATACAGATGCAAGTAACAGGTAAATGCCAATATTTGTGTTGGGATTTGAGAAGTTTACGCTTCCCCCAAAGAACTTTGTTCCTTGCCACAGTTTCTTACATAGGAAACTGAGAGTTGAAGTTTCTTAAAAATTAGAAAGAAAATTTGACTCATTAAATGGAAAAGAGACAGAGCAGCCACCAAGCCAAGATGGGGCTTTGTTGTTGTTTAGTCTCTAAATCATCTGTAACTCTTTTGCAACCCCATACGACTGTAAACTGCCAGCCTCCTCTATCCATGGAATTCTCCAGGCAAGAATACTGGAGTGGCCTTCCATTTGCTTCTCCAGGGGATTTTCCCAACCCAAGAATTGAACCCATATCTCCTACATCTCCTGCATTGGTAGGCGGATTCTTTACCCATGAGCACCTAGGAAGCTCGAGATGCGGCTTAGCCTAGCCTTTTTGCAGAGCATGGCTTCTGTGCCTGACCATAGCCTGGCACTGCTGAGGTGGGCTGCCTGAGGCAGAGCCACTACCCCAGGGAATCACGGAAGCATATGTGAGAACTCCAAGCTGGCTGTGACTTCACTGAGTGGGGTCTGTCAAACAGTATGCCAGGCACATCACAGAGTGAGATTATTTATACATTCATTTTAAAATGTCTTATTGAGTGTGTACTGTATATGCTGGGAATAAGATTAAAGGAGTTTCTCTAGACTGACAGAGCTCGGGCTTCCCAGGTGGCGCTAGTGGTAAAGAACCCGCCTGTCAATGCATGAGACAGAGACTGACAGAGAACTAATGCTGGCCAGTGGTCCAGTAGAAACAAATTTGTTAACTCCACCCTGAGGGTGGGAAGCTGGGGCCCAAGCTTTTCTCTTCTCTTGCATCTACCTTCATCAATATTTCCTCTGCAGCTGAACTGGCTGGCAGGAAACCTGCAATGAGGCCCTGCTCAGAAGACCCCCAGCTCTGCTGGACCTCCTGGCTCCTGGGATTCATCAGTCTCCTTCTCAGTGAGTGGCCTGGGCTCCTGGGGAGGGAGGGATAGCAGATAAAGCCAGCAAAGCAGGACCCTACCACTTGGAGTGCTCTCTAGGTTTTGACGTCTTTGTTGGACAAAAAGGGAAAACAACTCTAAGTTTTCAAAAGCAGTATACTTTGTTTAGAGCCCCAGAGTGCAAGGAAAGAATAATATGGCCTTTTGATTATGTGGCAAGTCTGGGACCCCTGAGCTCAGGCAGCCTTGTCTGCATTAAGAGAACCATTTCCAAGGAGGTGAGGTTGCTTCTGCTGCAGTAACAGGGAAGCCAAGAGAGCCTGCCTGGGGTCCTGGGGAGAGGGAGGGAGACAAAGAACATGGCTCCTTAGGGCACAGGGCAAGGGATTGAGGTTCTCCTGGTCTAGACTCAGAGGGGGCCTGGAAGCTTATACAAGACATCGTGGAGGAGGAGGCCAACTAGAGTTCCAGGTCTGGGCCAGAGGAAGCAACTCTAGTCAGGCTCCTTGGGCTTCTCTACTAGAAGGGATAGTGAACATGCACTCTCCACCAGGGTTTGGGGTGCAGATCCTAGCAGATCATCACAAAGGAGAGGGTCCTTGAAGTCTCCAGTTTATCTCAAAAGAATTTATATATTTTGCATTCCACCTCAGTGTTAGTTTTCATTTTGAAAAGTTGAAAAATTATCTTCCAATAAAACAAATTCTCTGGGAGGATGCCCTCTAAAATGCAAAGCACTGTTTTAGGGCAAAATCCTAGAAACAATGAATCTTTACATCAATTTGGAAATGATTGAACAAGATGGGAAGTTTCTGTACAGTGGAGTATTATGAAGCTAGGGAAAAAAACAGTTTACCAACTGTCTGGGAGGTGTTTCTAATTTTTGATAGCATCAGATGTATGGATTTCCATCAGTAAGATGCAGAAAACTGTATATAATAAAATCCTAATCTTGTAAATAAGACAGTAATCTGTAATATTTAAAATCTATACACCCACATATTTATGAGAGTAGGAGAAAATGCAGAAGAAAATGTAATAGATTACTAACAGGGGATTAAAATGGGGGGAAAGTTTGGAGGTGGGAGAAGAAAAAGTGGAGAGAATAAGGAGTTGAGCAAAAAAGAGGAACTGAAAGAAAAAGAGAATGTCCTAAAGAAGGATGGGTACCAAGCAATTATCCTTCAATTAAAAATAAACAAATCTAGAAAATTCACAGGAATGATGTGGATACATGTATAAATTTATGAAAGATTAGACATTTGTATATATAAAAATTAAATACAAATGAATGAAGAAAAGTAGAAAATATAGTGGATTCTGAATTCTGGATAGAACTAAACAAATTAGAGAGCATTTGTAAAAATGGGCCAACATATTAATAAAGGGCATTGAAATAAGGACTATATCCCATTTAACTAGATTACTTCTGTCTACAGTAAAATGTAGGCTTTCTTCATGTTTCCAGTGTTATTTAACTGCAAAAATATGTTCAAAATTATAGTTTTATCTAAAGTCTGGGACTAGAAATTCACAAATTAAAAATAAAGAGATGGAGACAAAGTGAGATAAAGGGAGAAAAAAAGAGAGAGAAGTGGTTTGAATTTCTCATGTTAGAGATGAGATGATCTACACACAGAGAAGGAAAATGACTTTCTCAAGGTCACCCAGGATCTGGGAAGGAGTGGAATTTGTTGCCCCCTTAGCCCCAGCCTCCATGGTACTGAATAAGATGGACACTTTCCAGTGGAGGTTGGGCACCCTGGGTGAACAAGAAGAGGCATCATTGGAAGGAACATTAAATTGCTCTGTACATTTGGAGGAGTAGGTGGTGAGGAGTGATGCTGTGGGTGAAGTATCTTTGTCTTTATCATTCTTAACATCTTTAACCCTTTTCTGGACATGAGTTCGGAAGTAGTGGGAAAGGAAACTTGAAGGTGAGTTCAGTTCGCACTGGAATTTCCCAGAGACACAGAAGCTACTGGTAGGTCCTGGGAAGATGCACTCATCATAGCAATAGTCTCCTTCATGCCCTCAGAGTGTCCCTGTGTCTACTGGCAGAACACAAAGAAGAAAGGGCCCCTACCATCACTGACATCTAGAGAGAGTCATGGAGACGGAGGAGACAGTGCAAAGGTACAGGTGGGTTTGATTATGAGTTGAGAAAAAACGGCTATTGATTTCCTAGTGTGATGACGAAGGAAGAGTCAGAAATGTGAACAAAATTTTATGTTGATTTTTAAATTTTATATTATTTAAATAAACTTCACTCTCTTGTTTATAACCACAGCCTTTCTGGCTTAATTTTCTTCTTCAGGATTAGACCTTTTGTAGTTCACAATGCTCTTACTGTCTGCCTTCTTTTTCTATGTCTCTTTCATCTTCCTCACAGCTGGTGCTCACCGCCAGCTTCTGAGTCCATCCTCCCTGCAGCCTGAGGGCTGAGCCTCCTCTCTCCCTGGTTCCCTCATTTCCAGCAAGTGTAGGGTCTGGTAGGTCTGCCGTTTAACTCTCCACTTGCCAGAAGTCCCTGCTCTGCCCTGTGTGCACGCTAAGTCGCTTCAGTCGGGTCTGACTCCACAACTCCAAGGACTGTAGCCCACAAGGCTCCCTTGTCCATGAGATTCTCCAGGCAAGAATACTAGAGCAGGTTACCATGCTCTCCTCCAGGGAATCTTCCTGATCCAGGGATCAAAGCTGCATCTCTTATGTCTCCTGCATTGAAAGGCAGGTTCTTTATGACTAGTGCCACCTGGAAAGCTACTCCTTGCTCTGCTAAACCCCTGTAATTACTTGCTTCCCCTTTCCCAGGAGAGAAAGTTGGAGGATTAGCCTCCAGGAGCTGCTCAGATCCTGGTGATAAGGCAGCAGTACTGAGAGAGAAGCCCCTGGGAAGGACAGGGACAGGGTGGGGAGCTGGTGGAGCTCCTGCAGGGGAGAAGCGCTGGGCTGGGAGCGGGGAGCCTTGGTGCCAGGAGCGGCTCTGCCCTGTGTGACCCAGGACAGGTTCACCCTCTGGGGGGCGGGGGGGGGGGGGCCTTCCTCTGTGACAGGAGGGGCCTAGGCAGATGCCCCCCAAGGGCCTTCCCAGCTTCTGTCCCCAGAGAGGACTCTCGTGTGTGTATGTTAAGGCTCTGCTCTGTCTCCTCATCCCATGTATCCTTGTCCTGTGTCACGACAGGGACCGACAGCAGTGAGCCTGTTCGGGGCACCTGCAAAGAGGAGACCCCTGACCATTACTGTGGTCACTTCTCAGCCCTGCATGGAATGAGGGATGCTCTTCTTCATGCATCCCCTTGGGAATCCAGTCTGGCCCTCTGTTTTCTCTGCCTCTGCTCCTGAGAGGGGCGTTTAGACCACCTCCTGAAGGACATCATCGTTCACAGTCTATGGAAACTTTTTTGCACACCATGCTCTGAAACTATAGTAAAGCAGTATAAAGCCTAATGTAAGGCTCCAGGCCTGTGAGGGGAGCTGAAGGGACGGGGGTGGAGGCCTGACCCCGAGGAGATGCCTAATTCAGTGAATAAGTGATTAAATAAATACTAAGAAATATCTGAAATACACATATATATGAATACTGGCCTGAGCCACTCTCTGCCTCTAGTGAGAGCCAGGAATGGGTTTAAGTACAACAGAGGAAGGCAGGCTTGATATGAGGAGAACTTACTCATGTGGAGAGAGAACTTTTTTCCCTGGCAGGCAGAGGCCAACCCAGGTGGATCATGACCCTCTGGGAAAAGCAAATTATTGTTCCCTTCAGGATGAGTGTTCTGCATTACTTTCTCTGGTTCTGTTCTGTCCTACTCTGCCCCCAAAAAGGACAGAGGGTAGCCGGTCCCTGGGGCCTGTGTCTGACGAGGGAGGGTGGGCTCAGGATGGGCTGGCCCTGAGGGGAATGTGCCCACTGGTCTCAGCTCTGCAGGAAAGTGATCGAGGAAGGCCCACTGCAACCTCTTGGGGACTGGCTAGGGAAGTGCTGACTCGCTGGCAGGGACAGCAGAGCTCACTAAATGATCACTTGCTCATTCTCATATTCTAGTCCCTGGCAGTTAGCCAGGGCCTTGTGACCAGGACTGGCCAGAAAGCAAGAGCCGAGAGCACGCTACTTCTGGATAGAAGTGTGATTCTCCCTTTTCCCCTCCCTGCTGTGGGGCTGGGAGCCTGTGAGGACCCTGTGGGCTCCATGCAGGTGGTGGAGCCTCCACTCCGTGTGACGGGATCCCTCCCTCGCTCCCTCATGGGGACTGTGGTGGGGGATATAAACTCCTCTTGTTCTAAGACCTTGAGATATTTTCACTGCTTGTTACACAGTGCAGCCTAGCCTCTCCTGACTACCACATTGCTTAGAAGCAAAAAGCAGAACAGCATTCTATTTGTGTTAGGTATTTACTGCTGTGTAACCTGTCACCCCAAAAGTTAATGCCTTAAACACCATCAGGTAGAGTGTCACATTTTCTCTAGGCCAGGGCCCAGGGGTGGGTCAACTGGGTCCTCTGGCTCAGGGTCTCTCAGACTGAAATCAAGGTCTTGACTGAGGCTACATCCGCTCAGGGTCATCTGGGAAAGATCTGCTAGCAGGAAGCTCCTGTTGGACTGAGGGCCTCAGCTCCTCCCTGGATGTTGACCAGAGGCTCCCTCGGTTCCTTGTTACATGGGTCTCCCCAGTAGGGCAACTGACAGCATGGCAGCTGATTCCTCAGGGCAAGCAAGGGAGAGAGTGAAAGAGAGTGTGTGAGAGTGTAAGCAAGAGGGAAGTCACAGTCCTGTGTACTCTAAAACCACTGAGTGACATCCACCGTGTCTGCTACGGTCCATTCCTGAGAGCAAGTCACTAGGTGCAGTCCACACTCCAGGGAAAGGGGTTAAACAAATGTGCGAACACAAGGAGGCAGGGATGTAAGGAGACATTTTAGAAGCTCCTTCTACAGTTATGCACCTAATTTGTGCCTGAAAATGTGCTAGGTGCTTTTCACTTGTGATGTCATTTAACTTATACTGACCTTATGAGGTCAGCAAGGAAATGTCAGGTTAGCAAATTTATGTAACCTATTCAATGTTAAACTTCATTAGAAAGAGGACTTGATCCCAAAAGTTATTTCAATTAATTGTTCTTGGCTGTCTTACTAGAATGAAGGAATTATCCTGGGTGGATTTCTTTAAAAAGAGGGTTGTACGGGTTCTTTCCTTTATTATTGATGAAAAAAATATATATTTCCAGTTTCCAATCCTTTAGGCATCTGCAGCACTGGGGCTAAGAGTCCTGGTGCACGTGGTTCTGAAATTCAGGATTCTGGAGCCCGTGTTCCCCTGCAGGGGATCCGAGGAGGTTCTGTGTTGTTTCATGTGATCAAGAAGCAAGAAGATGAACCAGAGGAGGTCTCATGGGGCTTTGGCCCTAAGTCAAACTACAGTGTCCTGCTGCAAGTCCGCCGTGGGGCAGACACTCCAACCTGGGTCAGCCTCCAGGACAAGTACCAGCACAGGGTCCATGTGCCCAACAACTTGTCCCTGAAGATTGAGAACCTGACCTGTGAGGACAGTGGGCACTACCGGGCTCGAGTCAGCTTTACTGGAGGATTAGAACTTACCCAGATTTTCCTCCTCACGGTCTACGGTAAGTGACACCTCCTCACCCCTCTCCATGGCTTCCCTCCTTCTTTTGTCCTAGGAGGGTCACATAGACCCCCATTCTGTAAGATTTTATTTAGACCCCAACCTTCAGACTCTGTCTTCTCATCCAGTAATAAGGTGTGCATGTTAGCCACAAAAGGAGAGCAGACTTGAGATTCACAAAAGGGAGAAATTACTTCAGTATTTTGACGGAGGAAAACAGGAATTTATATGGTTACATTAACTGTTCTTTTTAAAACTGAGTTGCTTAATTTCTCTACTTGTTTTCTATTACTACTGTAACAAACTACCAGAAAAACTTAGGGCCTTAAAACCTCTCAAACTGATTATCTTACCATTTTGTAGGTCATAAGTCAGACTCGTGTCTCATGGGGCAAAATCAAGGTGTTGGCAGGCCTGTATTCCTACCTGGTGACCCAGGAAACAATCCATTTCTTGCCTTTCCCACCTTCAAGTGGATATCTGATTTCCTTGGCTGGTGTCCCCCCTTCATTCATCTTCAAATCATCAAATTCATCTCACAGTGCATCCATCTGGTTTGTCCTTCTGCCTGTCTTTTTCACTTTACTTTTAATGAGAAGTATTTATTTTTTTTTTACAGTATGCCTTTTACAGTGATCTGTGACAAATAAACTAGATTCAGCATTGTAGTTAACAATGACAGCATCAACAACAGCCCAATAGCAACAAGCAAATTTTTATAAAGAAATTAAGAAGTCCTTGAACATACACAGTTGCCAAAATACATAGATACTAAGCAAAAGGCCACCTTTTACAGTGATCTGTGACAAATAAACTAGATTCAGCATTGTAGTTAACAATGACAGCATCAACAACAGCCCAATAGCAACAAGCAAATTTTTATAAAGAAATTAAGAAGTCCTTGAACATACACAGTTGCCAAAATACATAGATACTAAGCAAAAGGCCACTTGAGAAAGGAAAATTAAGATACCAAATGTTTAGGCCAATGAACAATGGTAACAGGGTCAAACAATTCAAACTAGGTATGAAGTTAATATTTTTTAAGAAAATGATTTATTGAGGTTTGACTGACATACGAAGAGATGTGCATATTTAATGTATCCAACCTGGAATAGGATTTCTCAGTGAGTTAGTTTGCACTTGAATATCTTATAGTTGCACATGAAATAGGTATTGAGATCTGTTTGGTTAGAAAGAAGAAATAGCTGAGAAAAGAAATAATAGTTAGGTGGCCGTGGGTGAGTCATTTAACATCATGCAGCTTGATCTAAAAAGTGACAGTAATTCTTTATTTTTCTTAAGGCGTTCACTGAACCAAGCGATTGCTTAAAATTCCTTCCAGTTCTATGAAAGATTGAATCTGTGAATTATTTTAGAGGAATGTCTCAAGAAGATATATACTCAAAAAATTTTAAGGCATTATCAGATATATCAGATGGGCTCTTAAATTATAATAAAGTTTATATTAACTATATAGTATTATTTTTCAAAAGAACTATAGGTAATTTTCGTGTGTGTGTGTGTGTGTGTGTGTGTATGGACTTCCTCTGAGGCTCAGCAGTAAAAAATCTGTCTGCAGTGCAGGAGCCGCAGAAGACATGGGTTATATTCATGGTTTGGGAAGATCCCCTGGAGGAAGGCATGGTAACCCACTTCAATATTCTTACCTGGAGAATTCCATGGACAGAGGAGCCTGGCAGACTATGGTCCATAGGGTTATGAAGAGTCAAACACGACTGAAGTGACTGAGCAAGCACATATACTAGTGAAACTGTCACCATAATTTATGCCAAAAAATCAGACTCATCCCTGTCAAAAGTTTTCTCCTGCCTTCTTCATTTGATTGTTGTTGTTGCTTATGTAATAGCACAAAATTTAAGTGTAGTCTACAGTGTTATTAATTATAATTACTTTACCTATATTACATAGTATTGTTAACTTTAGGCACTAGGCTATACAGTAGGTCTCTAGGATTTATTCATCTTTTGTAACTGAACCTTTGAACCTTATAACTAATACCTACCCATTTTGTCCTCCTCCCAGATCTGTGCAAGAACCCTTCCACCCTCTGCTTCTATAAGACTGATAATATAAGACTCATCATATAAGTGGTTTCATGTAGTATTTGTTCTTCTCTCTCTGGCTTATTTTACTTAGTATAATGTCCTACTGCTTCATCTATGTTTGTCACAAAAGGCAAAATTTCCTTCTTCTTTAAGTTTGAATAATATTCTTCTAGATGAAAGTGAAAAAGGAGAGTGAAAAAGCTGGCTTAAAACTCAATATTCAAAAAATTAAGATCATAGCATCTGGTTCCATCACTTCATTGCAAAAGGACAGGGAAAAAGTGGAAACAGTGAAAGGCTTTATTTCTTTGGTTTCCAAAATCACCCCAGACAGTGACTGCAGCCATGAAATTAAAAGATGCCTGCTCCTTAGAAGAAAAGCTATGACAAACCTAGACAGCATATTAAAAAGCAGAGACAGCACTTTGCCAACAAATGTCCATCTAGTCAAAGTTATGGTTTTTACAGTAGTCATGTACAGATGTGAGAGTAGTTGGACCATAAAGAAGGCTGAACATTGAAGAACTGATGCTTTCAAATAGTGGTGGAGAAAAGTTGTGAAAGTCTCTTGGACAGCAAGGAAACCAAACCAGTCAATCCTAAAGGAAATCAACCCTGAATAGTCATTGGAAGGACTGATGCTGAAGCTGAAGCTCCAGTACATTGGCCACCTGATACAAAGAGCCAGCTCTTTGGAAATGACCCTGATGCTGGGAAAGATTGAGGGCAGGAGGAGAAGGGGGAGACAGAGAATGAGATTGTTGGATGGCATCACCAAGTCAATGGACATGGGTTTGAGCAAACTCCAGAAGACAATGAAGGACAGGGAAGCCTGGCATGCTGCAGTCCAGGGGGTTGCAAAGAGTTGGACGTGACTTAGTGACTGACCAACAACAATATTCCTGTGTATGTATATACCGTGTGTTTATCAACTCATCTGGCAACGGACATTGAGGTTGTTTCCATGTCTTGTATATTGTAAAAATTTTGCAGTGACCATGGAAATGCAGATATATTTTTGAAATCCTGATTTCTGTTCCTTTAGATATATACCCAAAATATAATTGCTGAATCATAGAGTAGTTATAAGTCATAGACAAAGTTATGGTTTTTCCAGTAGTCATCAGGTATGGATGTAAGAACAGGACCATAAAGATGGCTGAGCGTCGAAGAATTGATACTTTTGAACTGCGGTGTTGGAGAAGACTCTTGAGGGTCCCTTAGACAGCAAGATCCAACAGTCAATCCTAAAGGACAATCAGTCCTAAATATTCATTGGAAGGACTGATGCTGAAGCTTAAACTCCAACACTTTGGCCACCTGATGCTAAGAACTGACTCAGTGGAAAAGACCCTGATGCTGGGAAAGATTGAAGGCAGGAGGAAAAGAGGGTGACAGAGGATGAGACCGTTGGATGGCATCACCGACTTGATGGACGTGAGTTTGAGCAAGCTCTGGGAGTTGATGGACAGGGAAGCCTAGCGTTCTTCAATCCATGGGGTCACAAAGAGTTGGACATGACTGAGTGACTGAACTGAACTGAGGATGAGACAGTTGGGTGGCATCACCAACTCAATTGGCATGAGTTTGAGCTAGCTCTGGGAGTTGGTGAAAGACAGGGAAGCCTGGCATGCTGCAGTCCATGGGGTTGCAAAGAGTTGGACACACAACTGAGCAACAAAACAACAATGAATAGTTATATATTTAATTTTTGATAAACTCTATACTATTTTCCAAAATGGCTGCACCAATTTACAATCCCACCAACAGTGTATAAATATCCCTTTTTCTCCAGCCCATCAGCAACACATCTTTTTTTCTCTTTTTGGTAGTAGCCTTTACAACTGGTATAAGAGTATTCTCACTGTGGTTTTGGACTTCCCCTGTGGCTCAGCAGTAAATAATCTGCCTGCAGTGCAGGAAACACAGGAGATGCAGATTTGATCCCTGGGTCGGGAATATCCCCTGGAGGAGGAAATGACAACCTGCTCCAGTGTTCTTGCACACACTGTGGTTTTGATTTTCACTTTCCTGGTGATTAATAATGTTGAGTGATTTTTCATATACCTGTTGGCCATTTTCATATCTTCCTTTGACAAATGTCTATTCAGTTCATTTCCCCATTTTTAACTGGATTATTGAGGTTTTTTCCTATTGAGTTGTATGGGTCCCTTATAAAATTTGGATACTAACCATTTATCAGATACATAGTTTGCAGCTATTTTCTCCCATTTCTTTAGTTTTCCTTTTCATTCTGTTGATGTTTCCTGTGCTGTGCAAAAACATTTCAGTTTATCATAATCCCAATTGTCTATTTGTGCTTTATTGTCTATGCTTTGTTGTCATATTCAAACAATTATTGTCAAGGCCAGTGTCAGGAAGATTTTTCCCTTTGCTTTCTTCTTAGAGTTTTACAATCTCCAGTACTACTATTAAGTTGTCAATCCATTTTTAGTTTATTTTTTATATGGTGTAAGGGGTCCAATTTCATTCTTTTGCATATGGATATCCAGTTTCCCCCGCACCATTTTTTGAGAAGACTTCCCTTTCCCCATTGTGTATTCCTGGTTTCCTTGTCAAAGATCAGTTGACCATATATGCATGGGCTTATTTCTTGGATTTTTATTCTGTTCCATTAGTTTATATGTCTGTTTTTATGTCTGTTTTAAGTAGCATTGTAATATACTTTGAAATAAGGAAATGTGATGCCTCCAGTTTAATACTTCTTGCTCTAGGCTGCTTCTGTTATTTGGGATCTTTTGTGGTTCCATATGAATTTCAAGATTTTTTTTCTCTTTTTGTAAAAACTCCCTAATTATATTTACAGTTTGGACAGAATCTATAGATTGCTTTGGTACTGTGAACATTTCAACATATTAATTCCTCAAATTCATGAATGTCCAATGTCTTTCTATATATTTGTGTGTATATA